TCACTTTTTTTTTTTTTGGTACCGGGGGATCGAACTAGGGTCCTTGCGCTTGCGGGACAGGTGGTGGAACCACTGAGCTAAATCCCTAGCCCTTGTCTATGCATTTTTTTATTGCACTGGCTAGCTATGAATTCCTGGACTCAAGCCATCCTGCCTCAATCTGTCAAGTAGATGGGGCTACAGGTATGAACCCACAGTGCCCACCTTGTTACCGGTTTTTTGGTTTTTTTTTTTGGTACCAGGGATGGAACTCAGGACCTTGTGTTTGCAAGGCAGGCATAGTGGCATAGTGCCACTGAGCTAAACCCCCGGCCCAATTATTGCATTTTTTAAAGACAGTTGGTCTATCCAACTCCACCATGAAAATCTTCCCACTGAGCTCACAATGATTTTTTTTTTCTTTTTTTTTTTTTCTGGTACCGAGGATCGAACTCAGAACCTTGCGCTTTCGAGGCAGGTAGCAGAACCATTGAGCTACATCCCCAGCCCTCAAATTCTTATACTCTTAATTTTCAAAGTCTTACTGTTAATCCAACAACTTATCTTTTATTACACTTACTCACACTTTTCCTTTATTTTGATGCAAATTCCAGAAACTATAATTTTATGGATTTTAGTATGAACCTCTAAAAGGATTTTCTACAGTCAGGGATGGTGGTGCTGGAGGCTGAGGCAGGAGGATCACCACAAGTTCAAAGCCTGGGCTACAGTGAGATCCTGTCTCAAAATAAAAGAATTATTCTACAAAACATATCTCCTTAATAGCAAACACTGAGTATTCCACTTTTCCGACAGTTTCCTAACTTCAAAGCTGATTTGAGTCAGGAACCAAGCAAGAATCACATCTGTATGGCTGATGTTCCCCCAAAAGTTTCTTGTTTTAATATGATACTGGGATCAAACTCAAGACCTTGCATATGCTAAGCACATACTTCACCACTGAGCTATATCCCCGGTCAAATCTATTTTATAGTATTCCCTGCTCCTCCCGCCCAGTCTCCTTTGCACTTTACTTATTGAAGAAACCAGACCACTGGTTCTGTAACATGTCCTACATTGTAGGTTTTATGGATTGCTTGTAATGCTATTTAACATGTTCCTGAATTGCTTCTTGCTCTGATTCAACTTGTTTGATTTGGATTTTTGGTTTCTTGTAGTTTTGTTTTTGTGTGTGTTTTTTACAATAGATGGTATATACTTCCATCAAAAGATACGTAATTCTGGTTGGCTCTTTTGTAACTTTATTAGTCCGTCCCTTGTTGATAGGACAAAATACCCAACACCCACAATTTAAAGGCAAGGTTTCTTTTGGCTCAGTTTCACCAGGTTCAGTCCATGTTCAACTGGCTCCAAGGAATAAATAACATGGTGGAAAAACCCAAAGGACTAAAGTTACTCACAGCACGGCAGCCAGGAAGCAGAGAGGAGGGGAGGAGCCAGGGACAAGAATATACACTTCTGAGTCACACCCCCAGTGACCCAACCCTTCCTCACCAGGACCCACATCCACATGTGAGACTTTTAGGGAACATTTTAGATCTAAACCATAAGTCTTGTTAGCTACTGGTGATTACTATCTAGACCTATAATTTCACTAAGAACATACTATTCTATCTTCATATTTAGTTGGAATACCAGGATATGAAGAAACTGCCCTTTCTATTAATTTTTTTTTTCTTTTTTTTTTTTGCAGTTCCGGGGATTGAACTCAAGACCCTGTACTTGCGAGGCAGGCATGTTGCCGCTGAGCTAAATTCCTAGCCCTCTTTTTATTAATTTTTGAAGCTTCCCTTTTTCACAAGTACCATGTTATGATGAGATACAGCTCCTATATGAAAAGCAAGCTATATCTTTTTATTTGCTAGTTTGTAGACTGAGGTGATTCTTTAGTATTGTGTATGTTTGTTTTGTGCACTGTGAGGGCTTGAACCCAGGGCCTCACACATATTAGGCAACTGCTCTACCAGAGTCATCCCCCAGTCCTGTAGGAGTAATCAAAGCATTGTACTACTGATGTATACCCTAGCCCTTAACAATCTTATATAGAACTCTTTGATCAGGGCGGAGAAAATATACATATGACTATCAACACTTCTGAGAAAAGGTTATTCATTTTACTTATATAGTTAATGAAGAAAATCAAACTCCCTTTATATACTCTCAACACAGTACACTTCAGTTGTCATATGTGGTGGGTTTTTCCCCACACAAAGCAATTCTCTAACTCTGACACCATCTGGGGATCCTACAATTCAATTCTGACACTATCTATGTGGAGTCATCGTCACAGCCCAACTACCCCAACTTCAGATGCCAATCACAAGTCTCAGGTTGTAGCTGGGTGTGGTGACAAAGGCCTATAATCCAGCCTTTAAGGCCAAGGCAGAAGGATCATAGCAAGCTGGAGGCCAATCTGGGCTACCTAGTGAGTTCAGGACCAGCCTAAACTACCAAGTAAGACTTTGTCTGAAAAAAAACGTTTCAGGTATTAAGCTGTGCTTCTGACTACCCGGCTATAAATCAGGGATCCTATTACTTCCATTCCTTTGGTTTGATAATATGCTAGGGTGGCCCACAAAATTTAGGAAATTTTTCTTACATTTACCCATTCATTATAAAGGCTATTATGAAAGATTAAAAAGTACATAAAACAAAGTCCAGGAGATGCCTGAGTGCTGGAGTTCAGATCCCATACAGTTGTTGTACTCCACTCTAACAGCACATGTATGCATTCAAGGGGCCGGGAATTTAGCTCAGTGGTTCCACTGCCTGCCTCGCAAGCAAAAGGTCCTGAGTTCGATCCCTGGTACCAAAAACAAAAACAAAAACATGTATGCATTCAACCAACCTAGAAGTTCATCTAGTCTTCTAGTTTAAGAATTGTTATATAAGGGCTGGGGATTTAGTTCAGTGGTTATGCTGCCTGCCTTGCAAGCGCAAGGACCACAGTTCAATCCCCGGTACCAAAAAAAAGAACTGTTATATAGTATGCAAGAGCTTAATCTTGCAAATCATTTCCCTTTCTCCAGAGGTCAGTGGGTGAGCTGAAAGTTCCAAACCTCTAACCACTTGGTCTTTCCAGTGATGAGGCCCCTCCTGAGGCTTTCTGCAGGCCACTATCCTAAATAAAAGCCCAATTTCATTAACATAAACTCTGAGAAGAGACTCCTGAATAACAAAAGACACTGCTTGGCCGGGGATTTAGCTCAGTGGTTTCGAAGCCTGCTGCAGCGCAAGGACCCGAGTTCGATCCCGGTACCAAAAAAAAAACAAAACACTGCTATCAGAAAATTCCAAGGTTTTTTTTTTTTACCATATACACCACAGTTAGGGTATACAAATACCCAGTATTTTCACAACATCTAACACATCTAAAATCTAGCTACTCCAGTGGTTCTGGTGCCTGCCTCACAAGCACAAGGTCCCGAGTTCAATCCCTGGTACCAAAACTAAACTAAACTAAACTAATAAAATAAAATAAAATAAAATCTAGCTACTCTGTAGACTAAGACAGGAACACTGCAAGCTCTGGGCCAGTCTGGGCAATTTTGCAAGATTCTGTTCCAAAATTTTAAAAAATTTTTTACAGAGCCCAGAATGTAGTTCAGTGGTAGAGTATTTGCATCACCTTCCCAACTAACTCACTAGCTAGGAATGTCATCTATATCCCAACCCTTTACTACTAACATGAAAGCAGTGAAGTTCTGAATTCATCAAAGCAATTCCTTCATTTTTCAGATAATAGATTATATGTTCTAATCTCACTCTATAGCAGTTTGAAATATCTTTATCACCTGATGTCACAGAAGGTTCTTTCTCAAACACTGAGTGCATTAGGTGTGGTGGCACATGGCTATAATCCCAGCACTCAGGAGGCTGAGGCAGGAAGATCTTAAGCCTAGGCAATTTAAATGATTTAGTGAGACCCTGTGGGGTGGGGTGGGGGATGTCTAGGGTTGCAGCTTGATGCAAGAGACTTGGGCTCAATCCCCAATACAGAGAGGTTAAAAGTCTTTGCACACCAGAAGAGACTATAATCCTTGCTCCATTCCCTCCAAATCTCTTCTGCTAGAAATCTATCACAGCCTTTGCCTGTATGGAACTGATTTCCAATTCTAAATGCAGAGATGGTGAATTTGCAGGAAGGAGCCAAAAGACCTTTTGAGGCTGCCATTAAACTACCTGAGTCTACCATATTCTAAGAATAGCCATTCACCTCTATCTGCATTGTCCCTACCCTCTAAACTACAATCTTTCATGTGACACTGAAGCGGCCAAAAACGGGCCTAGGCTTCCACTTTTGCCCTCTCTAACCCAAGCAGGGGCAGTCTGGAATTGTTCGTAAGACAAAGAAGCCAAGCCTGGCTTAAAAGGCCCCTACAGGACTTCGTTCCCTGTGGTGTCTTCATAACACTCCCCCCATCCCTGCTGTTATTCTGGCGCACTGTAGTTACTTTATAGTTACTCAAATGTGTTACAGTCCCTCCTGACAAACTCTTCCTCATTCTTTAGGCCTCATTTTACAGATGGGTCCCCTATACACTCTCAAAGCACTCTTACGTACTTAAATATTTGAGCAATTATTAAACACAAGCATAAAAAAAAATCACAAACGGTTGGAAACCAAATGACTGCAAACTCCCTTAGGGCGGGCACTGTTATCTGTTTGGTTAATCCCTGTATCCCCAGGAAACCAGGGTTTAAGACACAGTCTGGGCTCCAATATTTGAACGAACCCAACTGAACAGAAGGGACACAGGTAGCCAACAAAAAATCTGAACTCAAATAGAAAAGTTCTAACATATACAGCCGCCCGTTTTGCTTCAGCACTCTCCCACCAATACGTTCATTAACTCAGACCAATCCTCAATGGGATTAGATACCATAGGTCTCCAACCTCAGGCAGCCCCTGCTTTCTTCAACCCCACAAAGTTCCAAACCCAAAGTGAACCCATACTAGTTGCGACAGGGAACACGCCTCCTTCGCCTCCCGGACCAACCTTGGGGAGGCTCCCACTCTGGACTCTCTGGCCCGGATTCTGAACACCAGTCCGCAAAGCTGTGACGCACAAAGGCCGGAGAGACAGGTCAGCAACGAAGTTTGTCGGCGCGAGACGCTTCTCAAAACACGCGTTGGGGCCCAAGCTCTGCGTCACAAAGCTTCGGAAGCCCGCTCTATTCCCGGAGGAGGAACGCAGATAACGACCCCCGTACCTCGCCCTTTAAGAAGCAACCCCCCCCACCATTGGAGCCAGGCGGGGGTTCCGAACACACCCTCGCGAGAGCCGCCAGCTTCCGCCCGCTTCCTTCTCTCAGCTTGCCGGCCGGAAGGAAGGCAGTACCTGCCGCCCCCCCTCCTACCTCACAAGACTGCGCGGCCGAGTTGCAGCCAATCATCGAGCCCATTGTAGGCCGCGTCCCAGAGAACCAATGGAAAGTCGTGGCGCGCGCAGAGCTTCTCTTCATCTGCACGGCCCCCTCCCTTCCGCCCGCTGCCTTCCACTCGGCCTCTGGCGCAGGAAGTGATGTCACAGGCCCCATGTGAGCCGATTGCAACACATGCAGCTGCCTGGAGAGAGGGAGCCGGTGTCCTACGTCAGAGCCGCCGCCGCCGCGGAGCTGCCGCCGGGGAGGAGCAGCCGCTGCCGCCCAGGACTGGGCCCTTAGGTAAGGCAGGGGAAGGAAAGACCAGCGACCGAAGCGGCGAGCTCACGAGGCGGGGAGAGGAGGGCCTCTCGGGGGACATGAGGAAGGGAGCCGCTCTGCCCCAGCGGCGGCGCTAACTCTGTGGTCTTGGTGTCTCCCGGCCCCGCCGGGCCGCTCTAGGGAGGAGGAGGCGAGAAGATGGCGGACGACCCCAGTGCTGCCGACAGGAACGTGGAGATCTGGAAGATCAAGAAGCTCATTAAGAGCTTGGAGGCGGCCCGCGGGTGAGCGCCACGTCTGGCCCCCCCGTGCCCTCTCGGATCTGGGACCCCTCAGGATGGCCGCCCCCGCGCCGCATGGCCGGATGAGAACCAGGCACTAGCCAACTCCCGCCTTCTGGACGTCTGGGTAGTAGCCCCTGATTCGGGGCGAGGGTCGGCGCGGTTGGCCGGAGAAGGGGTCCTTTCCCCCGCTTGGGGGTAAGGGTCCCGCGCTCCCGGGGCTCAGACCATTCGACTTTTCCCCTCGTGATAAGCCACCTCTACTTCTGTACCTCTCCCAGGCTGTTAGTTCCAGCTCCTTACTCTTCAGGCTTCGGGTGCTGTTGGGGGAAGGTACGGTACTCGGCCTTCCTTTCCGAACGCCCTTCCCTGATTTTCTCTCTTCCACTCTCTTCACGTTTCTCAGCCAGGCCTCATTAAAATGGCCTACCCCTCCTGGACTTCTGAACTCCAAGTGGGTGAAGTTTGGATGGGGTGATGGGGTGTGAAGGGGAGGTGGCCAGGAACATCCACTTTCTGGCTCCCTTTGGTTTCTCTGGATCTTCCACCTCTCCCAAGATGACTTCCCCTAAGTCCTCTAATTACTCCGGAGCTTCCTGGTTTTAGCTGTTTCAGGACCCGCCTATAAACTGAAAATGCCAGCGTGTGCGGGATGGGGGGCGGGGGCTTATTATGTTTGACAAATCTGGCAGTGGGGCTGCTTAATAGGAACCATAGTAGTGGAGTTCTTGCCCCTGTGTGGAACTTCTTGGGCTGTCACTGTAGAGGTGCGTGTTGTATTAATACTTGTTGACATTTAGAACTGAATTAAGTGAGTTTTGTGTCTCGTAAGTTTTGATAAGAACCTGTAGGTGTGTCCATTCTGGGAAGAGTAAACTAGATTAAAAGTAGCTGTGTGTGCTTTTTTTTTCTTTCTTCAACGTTGCTCACTTGAGGAAGGTGTGCCAGAGTTATCCCTATTCCTCAGTTTATTTCCCAATCGTTGAGACTTTTTAGTTACCGGAAGTGCCCCCAAAAAATAGAACATTACATATTTGTACATCTCTGCATTCTTAGAATAGCAGAGAAGTTTGCCCCAGTCCTTGTGGAAAGTTGATTTCAGCACGAGAATGTAGGCATTGTGGTTTTCAGCCCAGAGTTGTCATTGACACACTTAGAGTGAGGATGACTACCCCACCAAACTCCTTGTTATTATTTTTTAAAATGGGTTGTGCTTGATTGTGCTCGAACCCCAGGGTTAGCAGGCCATTTTGCTGTGGTGTTATGTTCTTAATAAATTAACAGTTGTTTTTGAGATTAGGCTTCTGAAAGTTTGGCCCTTCTCAGTGTCGTGGAATTTTGCTCCTTCCTTTGGCGTGTTGAAAAGCCTTAATATGAGTTAAAGGTAGCAGCTTGTTTTTTATACCTTAGATTATTTTTTTTCTCTGGATTTAATAGGATGTTCACATTTGTTACTTGTTACTCTTACAGGAACTTGTATCAAGTAATAGAATGAAAAACTATTCTCAAAATGTTATTATATAGTTCATGACCCATTATGACACAATACCAAAAATTTGCCAGGTACTTTTGTTTCACTAGGATATTATGTTGTGTTACTTGAAGCTTTGGTTGTATATTGACTTTTATAGATTGTTGTTGTTGCATGTTGTTTAAAGTTAGAAGTGATCTGTGCATTTGTTCTTTCATTTGGAGGCATTAGAATTTACATGCATTTTATTCTTTGAAGCCAGCTAAAAGATGAGTATGATTGATTTGTCTGTTGTCTGACTGTGGTAACTGACAATAACATTACTTGATAAGTAATAGCATTCCTTTCTACTGCTCATGAGGGAAACTCATCCTTTTTTTTTTTTTTTGGTACTGGGGATCGAACTCAGGTCCTTGCGCCTGCGAAACCCCTGAGCTAAATCCCCAGCCCATTCTTAAGTTTGTTACTAGCTGTGTTAGCTACTTTTTAAGTCCTTTTTGAAGCTTTTGAAGACTTTACCTCTTGTTAACAAAGTTCAGTAAAGTTTGAAGCCTACTTTTAAAAAGTTCTTAGGCACAACTTGTCTTCTAGGTAACAGTTTGAACATTTTAGACAGGATTAAGCTGTCTAAAATAGCCAGAGACTCTTTTCTATAAACAGACTGGTTAATAATCATGTCCTGTTTGCTTTTAGTCAGGATTTGGTTGCATCTTAATCCCATGAAAATTTAAAATCTTGGCAAGTTTATTCTGTGTGGCTCAAGTTTCCAGGTGTATACCAATTTCTTTTGGGAAATGGCATGATTGTATTTTCATTGCAGAGTTTTGTTAAAGTCAAACTAGATTTTCTTAGCATATAGTGAGAAATATTTCTTTTTTTTTTCCCATTAAGTTTATTGATACATTTTAGGTATAAAATAACAGTTACATTCATCATTGGGATCTTGTACCATTACATGAGTATCTCGGTAGAAATATTTTTCTTTCTTTGCTGAACACTAAAATATTTTTTAGGATAATTGTAATGAGCTTTTAAAAAATCAAACTGGCAAAATGAGTCCATATATGCTGGTGTTTGGGCATGCAGCACCATGTAGGTTTCAGGAGAAAACAGGCCGTGTTCAAGCACAATTATTAGCACATGATAATGAAACTTAGTGTTACAGGCTTTTTGTTTTTAATGGAATTTCCCCAGCAGTGTAGAATTCTAGACGTGAGAATCAAGGATTTTTTTTACACCACTTTTTAAAGTATGCTAGAATAAGAGTAATTCTGAAATTTAGTCAATATGTGATTATCTTTTGACATATGACCCAAATATTTTATAGCTTAAAAAGAACCACCAGTAAAATAGTCAGTAATAAAATACATTTGAACAGAAAGAGACCCCTGGTCAATTTATTGGTTACTTAGTGTGTTGTAGAATGTCCTATGCAGTAACTGTCATTTAATCTTCACAGCAATAAATATTGCTACCATTTGATAGATAAGGTAACTGAGGCTGAGAGGTTAGATAACTTATAGTGCATAATGTCACAGAATAAAAATGTAGCAGGGTCCAGAACTTGAACTAATGTACTATGCTGGATATATTTTCTGTTTTCTAAAATAATGCAAGACTAAATTTATCCAAAATGTGATCTGAACTATAACAGACTGTGTTATGTCTGTAGAAGAGCATTTATAAAGGCCAGGTTACTAAATGGGGGATTTACTTGCATTCTATTTTATATCTAGCATCATACTTAATCTTCTGATTTTTAAGTTGGGTGCAACATACCTATTTTGGTTTTATATAATTGGGGTTCAGTGTTCATTTATGTATGCTAATAAAATAACCAGCCAATTCTGCTGTCATATGCTTCCAACTGAATGGTAGTTCCTCCTTATTTATGATTGCCCCTGGTGTATTCTTAACAGTTGGTTTATGAGAACAAATAAATACATAGCCAAAACTGGATCTAGGGCTATGTGAGTTGAACTGTGGTTGGTTTCAAATAAGGAACTAAAGCAGGTGAACATAAGTTACCAAAAAAAGGTAAGCTTTTTTTTTTTAATTTTCTGAGCAAGCAAGAGATAGCCCCAGAAATAGTGTTAGAAGCATGATAGCTTTCAGACAATAAAATAACTAGAGCCTGTTTAGCCAAGGGTGGTAGTAAATGTGACAGCAGAATAGAGTGTTAAATTGGGTTAAGTTGTGTCTGTAGGTGTTAGGATATTTTTTCACTTGGGAGCCTTGTATATATCAAGTATAAACTTGTTGGTACACAGTTTGAATAAAGTGTTAAATGCATAGGAGTACCTTCCCCAAGTGAAGATTACTGATTGGTCATCACCTAATTGATCATAAAAGAAATATTCTCAGAACACTGAATTTCAAGTCATTTTTTTACTTTATTTCTCAAAAAATTTTCCCCTATATTTGGTGATTAAAGCCAGAGCCTTGTTAATTCTAAGCAAATGCTGTTAACTGCTGAGCTACATCTCCAGCCGTATTTCTCAGTATTTTTGAAGGGCTGATTTTAACTAAAGTGCAACGGAAGTGATAGACTGGAGGCTGGGAAGTCTAGCTCAGCAACAGAGTATTTCATGTAACTCAGGGGGCCTGGGTTACATCCCCACCACCACCAAAAAAAAAAAAAATCGAGCCATTTAAGGTTCAAGCTTTTAAAGATTGCTTTTCTTTTCTTTCTCCCCCCCCCCCCCCCCCCGAGGAATGTAGTCCATGCCTATAATCTCCGTGCTTGGGAAGCTGAGACAGAAGGATCCTCTTGAGTTCAAGGCAGTCTGAACTACAGAGGCAGACCCTGTCTCAAAAATAAAGATGGCTTTTTTCATCCTCTGTTCTAGGTTCCTCTTCTCCATTTCTGGTGATTAGGCCTATAAAACACCTTCTGAGAGAAAAGTAAAAAATTAGAATATTTTAAGTTTTGTGAGATAGATGAGTTTAGAACAAACTGCTGAGGCTCTTAGTAAACTACCTGTGGGCTCTTAGTAAACTACCTGCTTGAACTGTGGCAAGTTTTTCTCTGCAAACTTTCAGTTTTTACTCATATAACTATAGACAGTAATCTTGGTTTAGATGATAATAATCAGCATGATTTGAGTTTTAAGTATCTACCACCACATTTGCCCCGTCATGTTCCACAAATGTTGGTTCTTTCCTGTTGTGTACCCAAACTTTGACCCTTTAGAAATATCTGATAGAGAATTATTATATTATTAAAGGATCAGGATACAGATGTTATAGCAGATCTGATCCAGGATGTGTTAGTGTGTCTCAGTCTCCTCCAAGTGTCATTGGCGGCCTATGTCAACTCAGAACTGCTCCAGAGAACTACAGTATTCTGGTGCCGTGTTCTATGCATTGTGAACTTAATGAACAATCACTGTCTTTGAATTTCAAGTCTTGACAGACTTCTCATTGTAATAGCAGATACACTTACCCTTCCTGGGAAGGAAGGCTTTCTTTGGACACACCCTTAGGTAAACAAGAGTACCTAATTAGAATACCATTTAAGCCAGAGTGCCAT